TGTGCATCCTCACCCGGCGGTGCTATTTATTTCCCCGGCCATAAGGACCCTGTGGGGATCGCCTTGCAGATGGGCTCTTGCAGATGTTCGTCTTCATCACACCCCGGACCTGCGTTCACCCCGGGCCGGAGGAAGATGCAGCCGTGTCGCACGGTGATGCCTCACCGGCACCGTGCAACCCCGCAGGCTTCGTCCCTCCCCGTGTGCCCACCCAGGACCCCCAGGTCCCTGGGGACTTGGGTGCCAGCCGTGCCTTCTCAGCCATTGATCACCCAATGCGTGGCCGTGGTGTGATGACAGGATTAATCTTTGCTCTCCAGCACAGTTCAGTCTATTTCTTCGAAATCTCTCGATGGGGAGATAAGCCGAGGCGCAGCGTCAGGCGAGCAGGCGCTGTGACCCCCGGGGGGGGCAGGGAGCAGCCCCGGCGCCCCGTGTTTCGGCAGCGGGCAGAACACCGGGGTCCATCCCGCGCCGAGCAGGTGCACCTAGCTCGCCGGGGGCTTTTTCCCCTCCTTCCTTCCTTTCTGCCGCTTTTCTTTGTGACCCAAAGCAAACAGCCAGGCCCCTGCCCAATTTGGTTAATGATCTGGGAGATAAACCCTCCTGCGATAACGGCGGGGCACCGCCTGGCCGCGGACCGATGGCCAGATGAGATACCCGGGGTGGTGTTCACCTGCTGGGGGGGGCGGAATCCCACGGGGAGGGCAGCACCGGAGCAGGGCCCGCGCCCGTGGACTTTGCTCCTCGCCGTTCGCTGGGGAGGCTGCTGGGGGTCACCTGGGGCACCCCACGGGCTGGCACCAGCTCTTCCCAACCTCCCCGGGTTGCGGGCAGGGTGATGTGGCTGAATCCGGCGCCATCAGAGCACAGGGACGGGGCTCGCTCCCTGCTGCGTGGTCGTCCCTGCGTGGGGACACGGCTTGCTCGCTCGCTTTGGGCTTTGTTCCCAAAGTGCAGACAACGTGAACGCGCAGCATCTCCCAGTTTGCCCCATCCCGGCTCGGCATCATTTCCCCCGTGCCAGGGAAGAAGCACAGCGATGCTTCTTGGAGGTGATTTGGAAATCACCTGGAATCACCTTTTTCCTCCTCTTTTTTCTGGCTGTATCAATGTGGGTGCAGGTGGGTTCCGCAGGGGCTCCGGCAGCATCCCCGGCTGGGCACAGGGACACCCATCCAGATGGAGAACCGCTCGGCACCACTGGCCGGGGTTTGCCACCGCCCCGTTTTCGGGGAGACACTGGTGGATTGGGCCACCGGCCGGTGCCGTGGCCATCGGGCGCTGGCGGGGAGCGGGGCCGGCTCCAGCAACACTATTTTTGTCCCCCTGTCTGGAACGGTTTTCTCTTTATCAGCGCCCGCGTGTTTTCTCTGCTGGGGATTGATACACAGAAGATGAAGTGCTCTGACATGGGAAGTGTCAGGCGAACGCTCTTATCTCGGAGACATGGTCTCCTGACCCAAACGCCGCTGATTACCAGTGAGACGGGGGAAGGGGGGGCAAAAAGGGGGGGGCACGGAGGGGGGGGGAGGTGGCAGGGGTGCGCCATTCCCAAAAAGAAAGCAC